TGTATGTATGTATGTATGTATGTATGTATGTATGTATGTATGTATGTATGTATATTTAGAAAAAGTACAAAAACAAACAAACAAAAAACCCCACTCACTTAAATGTTTGGAGATTAAAGTGTGTATTTACCATTCTTATAAAACCAAAGACCTTTAGTCACTCGCACTGAGAGTGACCCTAGAGTGACAGCTGAGATGTGGGCTTTGCTCTGTGACCCTGGGTCTCTCCACTCTACCTTTCCAGCACTCAGAAGGCTCCAAGATCTATTCTGTAAGAAGGATATGGGCTCTAAGACTGAGAGGGATGGGAAGGTTGTGGAGCCTTGCGGGTTCCAAGGCAAGAAGGGAGCCCAGTCCTCCCCCCACTCCAGCAGAAACGAGGCCTTCTGCAAGCCAAAATTGAAAGTTTCCTCCATCCTCTTCACTGCCTGCTCCTTGATTCCTGGTGGAGTGTGAGCAGACAATGGGGAATTGGCAGGCCTGGTAATTAGCGGTAATTGTTTCTAATATCTGGGCGGCTGCCTGATTTCCCATCCCAGGGTGCCTTGCTGGCTGCCAAGGCACCAAGCTGCCACCCCGAGCTAGCAAAAGCAACATCCACAGAGCAAGAGGCACAGTGTGCCTTGCCTCTCCCAGCCAGGGGACCAACTATGCCAGAGGCCATGCTTCACCTTAGGGTTTCTCCTGGAGGCGTGGAGAAGGCAGTCTAATAAATCAGACTGGGTCTACGTTTGCCTCCCTTGCCGTGAGCCTGTCAGGGACTTCCCGCAAGTTGCTACTGTCTCCACTCTTCAATCTGTGAACAAGATCACTCTGCCCGTGCACAGTGTGCCTGTGCAGTGTTGTCTGCAGGACCTGTTAGCAAAGGGGCATGAGAGAGCTTGCTGACTGGAGCATGGCACACACATGCTAATGCATGGAACAGTCCTTGAAGGCAGCAGGAGCTCAGTAAATGTTCCCTGCCAGACTCTCATACTACTGGAATAAATGATAACAATTAAGATTTGTGGCATGATATACGAGAGAGACTGTGTGTGTGTGTGTATGTGTGTGTGTGTGTGTGTATGTGTGCGCTCACACATGGAACCACAGTGTATGTAAGACGGAGGACAACTTGCAGGAGTAGGCCATTTTCCTGTGAGCCCTGGGAATTGAACTCAGGTTA